TAAGGAATGTTTGAGGTTGGCTTGTACCAAGTTTTAAGTTTCCATAGTAATCAATACGTTTTGCATAACATTTTATAAATAAATCCATTATTTAATTTGATGTTTATTGACACTGGCAAAACAATGTTAGTTAGGATTTAAGAAATGAAATTTTGTGAGGTTGTTAAGAAACGTTTGAGGCAGGGTTGTACCAAATTTTAACATTCCATAGTGATTAATTCGTTTTTCATAAGATTTTATAAATCCCCTACTTAATTTGATATTTATTAAAAATGGCAAAACAATTTTCTCAAAACCAGTTAGGATTCAAGAAATGAAACTTTGTGAGGTTGTTGCGGAACGTTTGAGGTTGGGTTGTACCAAATTTTAAGTTTCCATAATGATCAATACATTTTGCATAACATTTTATAAATCCCTTAGTTAATTTGATGTTTATTGAAACTGGCAAAACAATGGCAAAAGAATTTTCTCAAAACCAGCTAGGATTTAAAAAATGAAACTTTGTGAGGTTGTTAAGAAACGTTTGAGGTTGGGTTGTACCAAATTTTAACGTTCCATAGTGATTAATTCGTTTTACATAAGATTTTATAAATCCTCTATTTAATTTGATGTTAATGACAAAATACTGGCGAAACAATTTTCTCTAAACTAGTTAGGATTCAAGAAATGAAACTTTTTGAGGTTATTAGGGAACGTTTGAGGTTGGGTTGTACCAAATTTTAAGTTTCCATAATGATCAATACGTTTTGCATAACATTTTACAAATCCCTTAGTTAATTTGATATTTATTGAAAATAGCAAAACAATGGCAAAAGTATTTTCTCAAAACCAGTTAGGATTCAAGAAATGAAACTTTGTGAGGTTGTTAAGGAACGTTTAATGTTGGGTTGTACCAAATTTTAAGTTTCCATAATGATCAATATGTTTTACATAACATTTTAAAAATTCCCCATTTAATTTAACGTTTATTGAAAATGGGATTAAAAGAAAACCAATTTTCTTGAAACCTCTTAGCATTTAAGAAATGAAACTTTGTGAGGTTATAAAGCAACATTTGATGTTATGTTTTGTCAAATTTTATTGTTCCATAGTGATTAATTCGTTTTACATAACATTTTAAAAATCCCTTATTTAATTTGATATTTATTGAAAGTGGTAAAACAATGGGAAAACAATTTTCCCAAAAGCAGTTTCGATTTAAGAAATGAAACTTTGTGAGGTTGTTAAGAAGCATTTGAGGTTGGGTTGTACCAAATTTTAAGTTTCCATAATGATTAATATGTTTTGCATAACATTTTAAAAATCCTCCATTTAATTTGACGTTTATTCAAAATAGTATTAAAAGAAAACTAATTTTCTCGAAACCTCTTAGGATTTAAGAAATGAAACTTTGTGAGGTTATAAAGGAACGTTTGATGTTAAGTTTTGTCAAATTTTATTGTTCCATAGTAATTAATTCGTTNCTCAAAACTAGTTAGGATTCAAGAAATGAAACTTTGTGAGGTTGTTAGGGAACGTTTGAGGTTGGGTTGTACCAAATTTTAAGTTTCCATAATGATCAATACGTTTTGCATAACATTTTATAAATCCCTTAGTTAATTTGATATTTATTGAAAATAGCAAAACAATGGCAAAAGTATTTTCTCAAAACCAGCTAGAATTCAAGAAATGAAACTTTGTGAGGTTGTTAAGAAACGTTTGAGGTTGGGTTGTACCAAATTTTAACGTTCCATAGTAATTAATTCGTTTTACATAAGATTTTATAAATCCCCTATTTAATTTGATATTAATGGCAAAATAATTTTCTCAAAACCAATTAGGATTCAAGAAATGAAACTTTGTGAGGTTGTTAAGAAACGTTTGAGGCAGGGTTGTACCAAATTTTAACATTCCATAGTGATTAATTCGTTTTTCATAAGATTTTATAAATCCCCTACTTAATTTGATATTAATTTAAAATGGCAAAACAAATTTCTCAAAACCAGTTAGGATTCAAGAAATGAAACTTTGTGAGGTTGTTACGGAACGTTTGAGGTTGGGTTGTACCAAATTTTAAGTTTCCATAATGATCAATACGTTTTGCATAACATTTTATAAATCCCTTAGGTAATTTGATGTTTATTGAAACTGGCAAAACAGTGGGAAAAGAATTTTCTCAAAACCAGCTAGGATTTAAAAAATGAAACTTTGTGAGGTTGTTAAGAAACGTTTGAGGTTGGGTTGTACCAAATTTTAACGTTCCATGGTGATTAATTCGTTTTACATAAGATTTTATAAATCCCCTATTTAATTTGATATTAATGGCAAAATAATTTTCTCAAAACCAGTTAGGATTCAAGAAATGAAACTTTGTGAGGTTGTTAAGGAACGTTTGAGGTTGAGTTGTACCAAATTATAACGTTCCATAGTGATTAATTCGTTTTATAAGATTTTATAAATCCCTTACTTAATTTGATATTAATTGAAAATGGCAAAACAATTTTCTCAAAACCAGTTACGATTTAAAAAATGAAACTTTGTGAGGTTGTTAAGAAACGTTTGAGGTTGGGTTGTACCAAATTTTGAGTTTCCATAATGATCCATACGTTTTGCATAACATTTTAAAAATGTCCCATTTAATTTGACGTTTATTAAAAATGGGATTAAAAAAGAAACCAATTTTCTCGAATCCTGTTAGGATTTAAGAAATAAAACTTTGTGAGGTTGGTAAGGAACGTTTGAAGTTAGGTTTTGCCAAATTTTAATGTTCCATAGTGATTAATTCGCTTTACTTAACATTTTATAAAACCCCTATTTAATTTGATATTTATTAAAAATGGCAAAGCAATTTTCTCAAAACCAGCTAGAATTCAAGAAATGAAACTTTGTGAGGTTGTTAAGAAACGTTTGAGGTTGGGTTGTACCAAATTTTGAGTTTCCATAATGATCAATATGTTTTGCATAACATTTTAAAAATCCTCCATTTAATTTGACGTTTATTGAAAATGGGATTAAAAGAAAACCAATTTTCTCGAAACCTCTTAGGATTTAAGAAATGAAACTTTGTGAGGTTATAAAGAAACGTTTGATGTTAAGTTTTGTCAAATTTTATTGTTCCATAGTGATTAATTCGTTTGACATAACATTTTATAAATCCCCTATTTAATTTGATATTTATTGAAGGTAGCAAAACAATGACAAAAAATTTTCTCAAAACCAGTTAGAATTGAAGGAATGAAACTTTGTGAGGTTGTTAAGGAACGTTTGAGGTTAAGTTGTACCAAATGTTAACGTTCCATAGTGTTCAGAACATTCCAAACTAAGGTTTTACGTGATATGCTAAATTCAATAGAAACTCACCAAACAGATATATTACCATTACCAACATTTCTGATTAATTCTCTTTTACTTTTTTGTAGTAATTTTGCAAATCGATCTCTAAAGTTATTGTAAATAATAATAAAAAAACAAAAAAGACTGAAATATGTATTTTAAATTTAATTAAATATAGTAATTCATCTGATAAATTCGAACAAACATTGTAGTACAATCTTCTCAAATTGCCATCGTCATAACGTACACGTACATATTTATATAATATTTATCTATGTACCATGTGTAAAATCGGTGGTGTTTGTCGCAAAAAAATAACTCATTGAATGCAACGCATTCCTACAATCCGCAAATACCAGATGAGGTATCTTTCTACGAACGTTTCATAAGACACGCACTATTCTATAGATAAGATAAAGTACAAGTCGAAATATATATAAAAAAGTATGTGAATAGATTTATGACTTCTAAACTCCTTTAAGAATAAATCGAGATAAAATTAAATTAAAGATGGTTTAAGTTTTTCAATTTATTTTTTGTTGTTATGTTTACTACCCCATTAACTGTTTATGGGAGATTATCTAGGACTTTGTGAGTTACGTGTAGAATTGGCGAGAGTGGTTGGTTTGTAGGTCGATTGCGAAGAAAGCGAAAGTCGCCCAAGGTCGCTGTGGAAAGCGAATTTCTGCACACTCTTCGCATCGCATCGCATCGACGTCAGGCGAGTTGTTACTCCAATTACGGGGCCGACGTAACGCAAGACTCAACGAACGCGGAAGCCACAGCAGCAACAGCTCTCGCACGTTGTACGGCGAGGCCCGTTAGAGAGCGCACAAGGCCAAGGTCGAAACGGAGGCAGCAACGGGTTTTCTCGTCTTCCTCATGCTACATTCAACATTTTCTACTTCTTCATCGTCTCCTTCTCTTCATCATTATACGTTTCTTATATCTATTTCTTTCTTCATTATCACAAACTATACAATGGACTTGTACATTTTTTGAATTTACTCTTTTTGTTCTGGATTATTTTATCTTTTGGGTAATTTTTTGGCCGTCTTCTTCGACACCTTTTGATCTTATCTGGGATTAAGAAAATAGTAATAAAATAAACAAGCAATGACTTTGACCAAATTTTTCAACCAGGTAAATTATTGATACAAAAAAGATTGGCAACAATTTAAAACAAAAAACACAACATAAGCAACATTGTAAAGCCAAAAATAAATATAAACTAAAATACTATCTGTTGTCAATTCTTAACATCCTACATTGATTAGACATAGTCATAACATCCTTAAATTATTTAAATATCTTCCACCACTCAATGATGCCAAAGTACAAATATTCCAGATTTTACTTAAAAATTTTTTCATAAATGTTTCATCAGCTATATCAATAATCAAATAAACCAAAATTATTTATTGCGACCAAAACATAAATTGACATTCTAAAGTTCTTGATTATTTTCTTGGGCAATGTTCATCTTGTAACCTTTACAACAGTCGTGGAACACGCGATCATAGAACTGTCAACTAAATCTAAGTGAGTATGCGACACAAACATATCAGAAACATTCTGATGTAACATTGCCAGAAACTTCTCATTGATAAGTACACAAAGTTTGATCACGTGAGAACCAAAAAACATAATTGTTATGCTTTGATAACATTCGGAAACAAATTTAAAAATCAGGATGCATCTGCAAGATTGATTCCTTTCGTAATAAGCTGTGACATGAATCGTCTTGGGAGATCTCCCAAACGATCTCTTTGATCTTGCCTCATCGCTTTTTGTCTTCGAGAATTAAATCTTAATGAGATAACGAATGCGGGTACGTCTTTTGCTAGAGTTAATTCTCTCCAATAATACCAAGTAACCGATATAAAATACAGCCATAAACCTATACAAAAATTTTAAATGTTAATCTTATTTAGGTGGTGCCATCTTTTAAGCAATAGTGAAACTAAAATACGGTTAATAAGAAATTCTATAAACTGTGTATTAAATACTTAAATTTAACATAGATGGAGCTCGATTTGAAATAAATTTTAGTTTAAGCTATTGGTTCAAAGATGACTCAAAAAATTTTAAATTATTTACCTTGAACACTTAACAATGGGAGAGTTTTATATAACGCTACTACTGTTCTAGATTCTTCTTTTAAATTCATTGTATGGACGGTGATGGATAAAAAGCAAGCTACAAGATGCATTTGCCATAAGAATAATAGGGCCAATAAGCAGCATAATATCGATTTAGGTCCGTTCTAAAATTATTTTTTATGAAATATTTTAGTTATATTATTATATTTATTACCTGTTTTAAAGCCAGTAGTAAAAAGACGTTTATTACCAGAAGTGAGGACGTGAATAGGTACATGATTGTTACTCCAATCGTTTGTGATGTTTCCATTGAGTATACAACAGCCCAAACATGGGGCCACTTAAATCCCGTTGTTATAAGAAGTACGCAAAATACCTTAGGTAAAATTTTTAATACAATTTAGTGAAAAATGTACATTTTACTTACGATAAAAAGAAAACACAAACAAACGGAAATTGTCTTTTTTGTGTTTTGGTGTTGTAATCTTCTCCAAACCCACATTACAAATTAAATTATAAATTAAATGAGTTTATGTGTCAATACCACTGATTGTTTAAATGACGTTTTGACAACACTCAATATATACAGGGTGTTCCAATTTCGTTGTCCGCATAGGCTATCTCCGAAACTAAAAGAGATTAAAAAAAGTAGCTTCATGTCATGATCTTGTTTTTCGAGAAAATGCTCAAAGAATATTCTCAAAGAAGATTCGGGTTCAATGTATAGTGTGCCCTTTTAAATAAAAGAATTTTGGCATATAGTATCTACCATGAAAACTTAAACTCAGGTAGATTCCTCAATATATTAAGGCAAATTGGGCCGTTGATAGAGAATTTGCCATTAAATATGTCTCAAATGATATATTCTCAATATGACGGAGCACCAGCACATAATGCCAGAATTATTAGTGAAATCTTAAATACAAACTTTTGCAATTGTTTGATACATTATTTTCCATCATAGTATATATGGTTATCACCATAGCAACATTAACTTTTAAATAAATACATTATTAGTGTTAGATAGAACAAAAAGAATTTTTGTTAATTATTCAATAACTGTAAGAAATATACCCAACAAACTATATATATTTGTTATCAGAAGAAAATAACAAATTATTTTAGGTCATAGCCAACTATGGTTTCCATTCAAAGAAAATAAAGTTACTTCTACAATCTCGAAAATAAAAGATGAGAACAAAATTCTACCAACGCCACTGAATTCTTCGTAAAAAGTTGCCCATATAATGTTTTATTTATAATACTCCATCTTTCATAATAAATGAGATATTCGCGATTGTCGTTTTCGCAAAATTTTCAATTTTTGTCGATAGGGCGAAAACAAAAGACGATAGCTGTTCGCAGTTTTCGGCATTAGCATTTTTTCGAAAAACGAGATCATGACATGAAAGGTACTTTTTTTCTATTTCTTTTAGTTTCGGAGATAGCTTATGCGGACAACGAAATTGGGACACCCTGTACGTAGTGATACAATAAAGTCCACATACAGCCCGAAAAATGATAATATCTCAGCTCCCGAAATGTAATTGAATGAAATTTTTTAATAAAACATGTAAAAAGTCCATATTATTTCCATATTTTACATAAAAACTATATAAGTTATTCTTAATCAAGGGGAATACAAAACATAATCATATCTTTAACTCAAAAAAGTCTACATACAGTCCTAAGAAAAAAGTCTATCAGTGTCCGTTATAGCTCTATAAAAATATACAACTATCTAGCACTGAATAACAAATAAAACTAAACTAATATTAGCACTAGACCTAGAACTAAAAACATTCCATTTAGTTGTGCGTCACTTAAAACGGCTAAACCTGAATGTTTCTACTTTTAGGTGTAATGTTAGTTCTAGAGATAGTGGTAAGTAGTGTAGTTAGCATAAGATATCATTATGTTGCATATGTTTTTATTGAACTAAAACTAATACTAACACAAGACCTAGAACTAGAATAATGGGAAGACGCACGGCTAAACCCGAAACTTTCTAGTTCTAGGTCTAGTGTTAGTTCTAGTTTTAATTGTAATTCAGCGCTATATTGTTGTATATTTTTATTGAACTGAAAGTAGAACTAATACTAGACCAAAAATTAGAATCATTCGGGATTAGCCGTCTTTACAGACGTGCGGCTAAACCCAAATGATTCTAGCTCTAGGTATAGTGTTAGTTCTACATGGATAACAGTTCTAGTGTAAAGCTAGAACTAACACTATACCTAGAACTAGAATCATTCGGGATTAGCCGTCTTTACAGACGTGCGGCTAAACCCAAATGATTCTAGTTCTTGGTCTAGTGTTAGTTCTACATAGACAACAGTGCTAGTGTAAAACTAGAACTATCACTATACCTAGAACTAGAATCATTCGGGTTTAGCCGTCTTTACACACGTGCGGCTAAACCCAAATGATTCTAGTTCTAGATATAGAGTTAGATCTACATAGATAACAGTGCTACTGTAAAATTAGAACTAACACTATACCTAGAACTAGAATCGTTCGCGTTAAGCCATCTTTACAGACGTGCGGCTAAACCCAAATGATTTTAGTTCTAGGTATAGTGTTAGTTCTACATAGATAACAGAGCTAGTATAAAACTAGAACTAACATTATACCTAGAACTAGAATCATTCGGGTTTAGCCGTCATTACAGACGTGCGGCTAAACCCAAATGATTCTAGTTCTAGATATAGAGTTAGATCTATATAGATAACAGTGCTACTGTAAAATTAGAACTAACACTATACCTAGAACTAGAATCGTTCGCGTTTAGCCATCTTTACAGACGTGCGAGTAAACCCAAATGATTTTAGTTCTAGGTATAGTGTTAGTTCTACATAGATAACAGAGCTAGTGTAAAACTAGAACTAACACTATACCTAGAACTAGAATCATTCGGGTTTAGCCGTCTTTACAGACGTGCGGCTAAACCCAAATNAATTGAATGAAATTTTTTAATAAAACATGTAAAAAGTCCATATTATTTCCATATTTTACATAAAAACTATATAAGTTATTCTTAATCAAGGGGAATACAAAACATAATCATATCTTTAACTCAAAAAAGTCTACATACAGTCCTAAGAAAAAAGTCTATCAGTGTCCGTTATAGCTCTATAAAAATATACAACTATCTAGCACTGAATAACAAATAAAACTAAACTAATATTAGCACTAGACCTAGAACTAAAAACATTCCATTTAGTTGTGCGTCACTTAAAACGGCTAAACCTGAATGTTTCTACTTTTAGGTGTAATGTTAGTTCTAGAGATAGTGGTAAGTAGTGTAGTTAGCATAAGATATCATTATGTTGCATATGTTTTTATTGAACTAAAACTAATACTAACACAAGACCTAGAACTAGAATAATGGGAAGACGCACGGCTAAACCCGAAACTTTCTAGTTCTAGGTCTAGTGTTAGTTCTAGTTTTAATTGTAATTCAGCGCTATATTGTTGTATATTTTTATTGAACTAAAAGTAGAACTAATACTAGACCAAAAATTAGAATCATTCGGGATTAGCCGTCTTTACAGACGTGCGGCTAAACCCAAATGATTCTAGCTCTAGGTATAGTGTTAGTTCTACATGGATAACAGTGCTAGTGTAAAGCTAGAACTAACACTATACCTAGAACCAGAAACATTCGGGTTTAGCCGTCTT